GTTTCACTAATAAAATACAGGAGTCTGTAAACTGCAAAGAATGTGCCGTTGGCTTTGAAATTGAGGGATCGTTCGACATACAGATTACTCATATGTTGAACGATGTTTTCATGACAGATGAGCCGATAATACGATACTTTCACTGATAGGCAATGTTTTAAGAAATTATGTGGTTAATGCTACTCTCGGCAATGCCGACATAAAAGCACATACTGCAAAAGGATGCCTACAAGGGGGTGTATTATCCCCACTACTGTGGTCAATTGCAGTGAAAGCCTCAGTGCCAAACAATTCGAGGCACAAGGCTATGCTGAAGATATAATCATACTTGTTAGGGGCAAATATGAAGATCTCATATTGACTCCAACAAGCCCTGAATTTCGTGGCTAGATGGTGTAGACAAGTAGGATTACATGCAAATTCAAAAAAAAAAATCTGATTGTCTTCCCCAAGAAGAGGAAAAAACTGCTTTCTAATAGCCCACTCCTAAATGGAGAAGAGCCAGAAAGGCATTATGGACCAGCAGAAACCTCATTGGTAAACACTGGGGCCTGAATCCTAAACTCAGCCTCTGGATGTACACATCTATAGCTAGGCCAATTGTTGCTTATGGGTCATCCATCTGGTACAAGAAAGCTCAGTAGAATTCAGTGATAGACAAGCTAAGTAAGCTGCAGAGATTAGCCTGCACAATGATAAGTGCAGCGATGAGAACTACCTCAATAGCAGTCGTAGAGGTTGCATTGGGGCTACCCCTACTTCACCCATTAGTCATAAAGGAAGCAATGACTTTTATAGCCAAGCTATAGTTAACTAGTAATCAATCAATAGGATTATGCGATAACTCTCTGTCAGGTAGGGAAATGCAAAGAGAGAAAGGACTAAAGATCACGATATCTGCCATTTGCTCACCTAAATTCAACTTTCACCAAAAGTTCCTAGTACTAATATCAGTCAGAAATGAATGGGAACGGAACAAACCTCCATTCATTGGAGACTACCATCTGTGGTACACGGATGGCTCCAAATCAATGGAAGGGCTGGGGACGGAAGTATATAGAGTTAAACCAAAAGAGGAATTATGTGTGCGTCGAGAAAACTCAGTTTTTCAGGCTGAAGTACACGCAATTGAGCTATGTCTTGGGATATATAAAGGGAAACTCGTCACTGGAAAAGACATATATTTTCTTTAACAGTAAATCGGCACTCCTAGCACTACCCTCACCTAGAGTAACCTCAAAATTAATGTGGGAATGCCATCTACTTCTCAAAGACCTTGCTGAAAGAAACAGGGAAACGAAAAAGCAGATGAACTAGCGAGAAGGGTCACAACCATTCTGTGGTCCTTCATGGAGCTTTTTCAAACTTAAAATTAATGAGTGGCTGGAAAGAGCAGCTCGGACTGATTGGGATAATACAATTGCCTGCAGACAAGCTAAAGAATACATGCCGTATTGATCAAAAGTCAGAACCAGGGAGCTACTTATGCTGAACAGAAGTGGCATCCGACTTGTCACAGGGTTTCTCACTGGCCACTGTGAAGTTAAAAAGCATCTATCGAACCTAGGGATTACTACAGACGATAGCTGCAGCCTTTGTTACGAAGAAGAGGAAACAGCAGAGCACATTTTGTGTGAGTTTTATAGTCTCGCCAGACTCAGACTTCAGTACTGGACAGTACTGGAAAACAGAGCTGGTTTTTTTTCACAACAAAACACATGCAGCTAAGAGTCAAGATGCAAGTATGTGACAGTACGATAATATCACAGAAAAGAGTTAAATATTTTGGACTTCGACTGGATTCTAGGCTAACATTCTGGGCTCAGATTGATTAAGCGTAAACTAAAGCTGTAAAAGCTACAGCAATATTGAATAGACTTATGGCAAACATAAGAGGAACCCACACAGTGTAAAAACTTCTCATGACTATGGTGAACTCTATTCTTATATGAAAGCGAAATATGAGCAGATGCATTACAGGCAAAATACCGCAGTCAAGCGTTAGCGTCAGTGCAATGAACAGCATTTTTGAGGAAATCTTCAGTGTACCCAACCATTTCAGATTAGTGATAATATTTCCATTGATCCGCAGGCTCACATACGAAAGGCTTGTTGGCATGCAAAACACATAGCGACATCGATAGGCAGTTGATAAGGTGCAGAACCATTGCAGAATGGCAGCATCGTTGGGACTCAGATTACCTTGGACGACTGACCGCAAGGCTCATCCAAGAGCTAAAAAACAGGCTAGCAAGACACCTACGAGGTTAACTACTACCTCGCTCAGCTTCTGTCTGGTCTTGAACAATTCAACAGCTACCTCTACCGCATGTGTAAAGTAGAGTCAACAAATTGCATATATTATGGAGCTGATGCCGCAGGACACACACTCTTTGAGTGCAATAAGTGGCTGTCTGAACAAAAAGCGGTAGCAGTGCAAATTGCTGTTTACTCCACAATGACGATGATAGAAAAATGACCGAAAACAAAACAAACTAGGATCGTATAGCAATATTTGCTGAATAGATTCTGAATTTGAAAAAAGTAGATCTCGACAGTAAAAGTAAGCAGACATATCACACCAAGATGCAAGACACGGTTAATCACCTAAACCAGTTCTGGGACCTGGACGCAGGTTACACCTCGAAATAATACTTACGGCCAAGGTCTCTAGAAATGAGGGGGAGTGGTTTTAGTCCGTGCAAATTGGACACACATTTTTCATTTTCCGGGACGCCGGATAGTGGTCAGTGCGTAGCTTGCAAAAACAAAAACAAAATATGGTTGCGCTACTGCCAATAGATATATAATAGGAAAATCTCATATATTTGTATTAGACCAGTATTAAATTGCATAAAAAATCAAATTTAAAAAATTTCGAATTACTTGTGCATTATATGCACAAAAAGCTGAAATACAAAGTATATGCATCATCTTTAACAATATTGCCTTATTGCCTCTTATATAAAGACATTTAATAAGTGTGTCGTAACAAAGAAGAGTAGAATAAGTATTGTTACTGTTTGTCTGTCCAGTTAGTACCACAAAACTTTACTTCGTCTTTGGCTCGTTTCGCACGAATGAACAAGGAGCTATGTATGCATTTGCTTTAATATTATAGTTTTTTTTATGGTTTTGCCAAAATAAAGTATGTTGCGTTCGCTATTGATTTGATTGGTGACTCCACTAACAAAATATTAGTGATCATACATAATATAATTCGATTGTTTATATGTTTGAACAGGATTTTTTACCCCTTGCGTGTACCTTTTAAGAATTCGTGTTTCTTTTAACAAAAGCAAACTACATGTCTTTATATTTCTATGTTTTTGGTATTAGTGTATTCTCCAAATATGTAAAAACAAAAAGATCTTGTTTATTTCTAGCAGTAGTTATTCATAATCAAAATCAATAGCACATTTGAAATCATATGTTCAATTTTATTATATGTGTATTTATATTCTCTGTGATTTAATTTTTCTTAAGCCGCTCTAAAAGCTTGAGTTAAAAATTGATCCAAATTTGTTCTTAATAATAAATGTATATATTTAATACACTTTGTTTATACATTCAACATAACACTTCGTTCAATAATGTGTGTGACTGACACATAGATGGCGGCACTAATACTAAATAAATATTTTTTTTCGAAAGTGGCAACCTTTTTAGGCTTACTGTCAAAATCATATGTTAATCCGACCATTTGTTTACAAGTTACAGTGCTTTAAGTGACGCTACTTTTGAGTTTGCAAAAAAAAATTAATTCAAAGCAATTCCGTGTGCTGATTTATCATTGTTTTTTAATGAAAAAAAATACTGTTCAATGCCAGGAATGGCTTGAAAAACATTATTCGGACTCTGCTCCATGAAAAAGAAGCATTTGGTATTGGTATGCCGAATTCAATCGTGGTCGTACAGACACCCATGACATTCCATCTACTGGACGGCCAAATGACGCTGTTATTCCGGAAAACGTTGTAAAAACACTGAAAATCATTATGTCCGACCGTAAAGTGAAAGAGAGGGAGATTGCTGACATTCTACAGATATCAGCAGGCAGTGTACATACACACCATAATACACGAACATTTGGGTATGAAAAAGGTGTTTTCCAAATGGGTGCTCACACCGGAGCAAAAACAGCAACAAATCGATGATTCAAAGAGCTGTTTGGACATGTTTACGCGCAATAAGTCGGAGTTTTTGCGTCGGTACATCACGATGGATGAAACATGGATCTACCATTTCACTCCAGCCGGTGAAAGCCGCCCAAAGCGACCAAAGACGCAGCAGTTGGCTGGCAAGGTTATGGTGCCTGTATTTTGGAATAAGCATGGAATAATATTCATCGACTATCTCCTGAAGGGGAAGACCATCAACAGCGACTATTATATAGCGTTACTGGAGCGTTTGAAAGACGAAATCGCAAAGAAACGGCCTCATATGACGAAGAAAACAGTTTTGTTCCACCAAGACAATGCACCGTGTCACAAGTCGATGAAAACGATGGCAAAATTAAACGAATTGAGCTACGAATTGCTGCCGCACCCACCGTATTCTTCAGATCTGACCCCCAGCGACTACTGGCTCTTCGCAGACCTCAAAAAGATGCTCCGTGGTAAGAGATTTGGCTCAAATGATGAAGTAATCGCCGAAACTAACGCCTATTTTGAAGGCAAAGAAAAATCGTTTTACAAAGGCGGTATCGAAAGATTGCAAAAGCGTTGGAATGGTTGTATCTCCCTAAAAGGGGACTATGTTGATGAATAAAAACGAATTTTGGCAAAAAAATGTGTTTTAATTAGTTAGTCACACACATTATTGAACGAAGTGTTACTTGAACACGTATTGAACGTATGTATTTACCTTAAAACGTCTTCATTCATTACATTAATGGGGAGCCTTGATTCATTCATTTACCATTTCAATTAAACTTTTATATTCATTGATATATTATAAAAAAAAGGAATATTTTGTGTTATTTTTATTAAAATTAAATTTTTTATAAATAACATCCGAAGTTGAAAACAGAAATTAAATAAGTGTATTTCAATATAGTAGAAATTGTTATAAAAGCAATATTACAATAACTGTGGTAGTGCTATCTTCAAAATGGATAATTTACAATTGATACCACTTTTTATCTTTATATTTAAGCATTAATTGGTGTGCTGTTCCACTAAAATCTTGAGCTTGATTAGCCATTCGTTCAGCTCTTTCTTCAAGCATGTTTAATTTCTCGCCTCTCTCCATAGCTAACTGATGGGCTCTACTTATTTCAGAAGCTGCTGTAGAAGCTCTTTGACCAAGCTGATCCGCATTAATTCCCGGTATATGTTTAGCAACCGATCTATTCGCTTTTCCGCTTTGTTCACCAACTTGAATATTAGCAATTTAGAATTGATTAAAAATATATAACAAAAATAAAAACTTTTGTTTAACTCACATAATTCCTCTCTGTCTAAACTTTTTGCTCCTCCTCCAAATAAACCTTTAAAAAAATTTTCTTTTGGTTGTTCTGGCATTTCGTGATAAATAAACATTTCGCCCATCATTTCTGAAATGAACTGACTAAAAAAAAAAATTGTTTTTTTTAATATAAGAAGTTCGAAATTGTAAAACATAATTTTCTTTTATAATTTTTCTAGTCGAGTAGTTCAGGGTAGTCGAGCCCCTGCAAGCCAGTATAGAAGAAAACATATCTGATTGCATCTAACATAAAAAATGCCAGCGCGATCCTTGTCGTGTCAATCCAAGTTGCCGCACAGCCCCCACGTGGCACTCTTGGGTAGTTATCTGGCATTTGCTAGATAATGAACCAATAGTGAGTACGATTACTGATTTCTTGAACTCATTCAAAGGGTTTGTAACCCGTCACGAAAAATCAGCCGCTAGTCAAGGACATAAGAATATCTCGGAAAAGGACAACGATTTACAGATATGCACCTGGAATGTCCGGAAGTGCCTCTATAGGTTTCCGAAAACAAGTTACACACAAGAAGTTTTATTTCTGTGTTCGAAAAACAACAGATATTTTTGATTTTTAGGTTTTTAAGGCAAAAATAATAATTATTTGTTTGTTTTAAAATAAAAAGCAGAATGTATGAGTTTTTTGTGCGTGGAGAAGAAAAACGCACATAATCTATAAGAACATAGATATAAGAAAAACGCCTATATCTATAAAGCCTGGATAATATTAAGGATGAAATTGTTGGAATGATAACAGCATATAATAGAATAGAAATAAACAGGGTACCAGCTCCCAACAAAGTGGAGCACTGCGCCCATAGTTGATCTTTTGTGCTGCAACAGACCCTAACCAAACAGAATATATTCCGTCTTCCGAATGAAAGGCAGAAAGTCAGCCGTTGAGGACCTCTTAATGTCAGAAGGAGAGAGTAGTTCTGGATTCAGTGACCTCCTCCTGGCCCAGATCAAGGCTGGGCAGTCACAGAGAATGTGACTGGATGATAGCTACAAACTTAAATAACAGTTTAGATACTTTTTTGTTGCTTGTTTTTTTCACGAAAATTTTTGAATTAATTATTATTTTCGGTCCCTGTAGAATTTTTAATAAATTAAAGTACAGTTAACCAATCCCATTGGATTGATCACATTGATCAATAATTGTGTAAAATAATCACTAGTAGAAAAAATTGTTTAATTATAATAAAGATAAGTATAAATTAAATTTAATTTTAGCGTAAATATGACGGTAGTGACTATTTTACTTAACAGAAACTATATTCTTTCTTTTTAATTTTATAGTGTTATTATTAAATATGGGATAGCATGTTGATTATCGTATTGGTTACCGAATCTATCTAATGTGCACTAACCCTTACGAACATAAATAAATATTACAAGATAGAAAATAAACATGCTTGGTATTGGGAATTATTAAAGCTTAATTTATCATTAGAATTTAAAAGAACTTATTCAAAGATATATAGGTACAAGCAATTGTGATATTTGGGGAAAAGTATGATATAAAGTTGACGTAATAGGCTGAAGGTTAATACTTAGTTAACCTCTGTTTGCAACTTCTCACTTCATCACTTTAAAAATATGCTACTCGTAAATTCTAAAAATTAAATAACTTGAATAAAACAAAATGAAATGAATAATAGAAGAGCATTTTTATATTACTGTTTTGATATATTGCAATTTGTTATTATTTCTGCTCATAAGATTTAACGGATGACTCAATTTTGCAACTTATTTCTATCGATTTCAATTTTCAAAATTGTGATCCATCACATTCTCCTCATTTAATAACAAACATAACAAATACGTATTATTATGACAGCCATCCTGTATTGTCCATCAAAGAAACTATTTACCGCTTCCCTAGCGGTAGTATCTTTATGCATGGTATTACCGCAGTAGTCTCGTTATTATTCTCAGGGAATGAAAATATACAGCTTTTCTGTGTAAAGGGATTTGAATTTGTCCGCAATTCCAACTCTAATTAATTTGTCGCTTTCATTATCTATTAGAATTGGAAATAATTTGAAAATAATTGGGCACAAAGCAATCAGCAAAAAGCAGAAATCTTTTCGGAATATCTTAAAAGTAATTTTACAATAGAAAATGCTGAAGAGAATATTTCGGCTAGTATAAAACTAGACAGCGAAATAAGCATACCTCTAGCTTCTGCTCAAGAAATAAAAAACATTAAGTATATAAAACCCAAAAATCTGCTGGACTTGACCTCTTAACAGCTGAGATTCTAAAGAATTTGCTAAAATATGCCATCAAAGTTCTGACATTTCTTATCAGCACATGCTTCAAACTGAGATACGTACTCTCCTTCTGGAAGGTAGCTGAAGTAATAATGGTAGCCAAACCTTACAAACTTGCTTATGAAGTTTCTTCATATAGACCCATATCCTTGCTATCCATTTTCCCGAAAGTTTCTAAAAAAGTATTTAAAAAGCGTCTATCAAATCTTATAGAAAGACAAAATTTAATTGCGAATCATCAATACTGCTTTAGAACCAGCCACTCAACAATAGAACAAGTCAATCGAAGTAGTAATATAATAGAGAACTGTTTGAAAAGGAAAGTTGTGGCATCAAGGTCTTATGAGCAAATTACGATTGCGATTACCAGAACAGTATTGCGATCTTTTAGAATCTTATATAACAAATAGATATTTTCAAGTTAAACAAGAAGACTGCTACTCAAACCTAAAAGAAATTAAAGTGGATGTTCCACAGGGAAGCGTCCTTGGTCCTATACTCTTTCTTTTGTTTACTAATGATATCCCAATAACAGAAAATTGTAAAATTGCGACGTTTACTGATGATACAGCTCCAACTTCAATTGGTTCTAATGAAATGGAATCAACTAAAACTCTCCAGCTAGCTATTAATAATGTTCATGAGTGGACGAAACAATGACGGCTCAGGCTTAACAGTACAAAATCGGTACATGTTAACTTTACGAATAAAAGGGTCTTCCAATGCAAATTAAATATAAATGGACTGGAAATACCCTATGCGAATACAGCGAAATACTTAGGCATGACCTTAGACGCTAAACTACGTTGGAAAGAGCATGTATAAGTATAAGCAGATGAAATGGTTAATCGGTAGGCGTTCAGTGTTATCGACACAAAATAAACTCCTGATTTACAATCAAATTTAAAAGCCTGTATGGACTTATGGTATACAGTTATGAGGATGCACCAGTAAGAGCAATGTTATGATAATACAGCGTTTTCAAAACAAAGTACTTAGTAATATTGTAAATGCGCTCTGGTACATTCGTAGTGCAGACCTACATCGTGACCTACAAATCGAACCCGTCGAGGACGTCATAAAAACGTATACTGTTGCTCACGCAACGAAAACCACACAACATAAAAATGCAGAAGTTTTACAATTAGTCATCGCAACTGACTCAGTACGAAGATTAAAACGTATAAAACCCTCTGACCTCGCTAAGTAATAAAACCTTAGCGTAAGTATTTATAATATATTACTAGTTGCATTAATAAAAAGAAAAAAAAAATCTATTAGAATTCTGCTTAAAAGTGCTAAAATCTTCTCACCATGGAGTACTGCTTTTGGTGTTTTCATGTGTATTTGCAAGTAGATTTGCATTTGGATGTGATTTTACGGATAGTATATAGTAGATTTTTGAACTCCGTTTAGCTGTTTACACCAGTAAACGAAAGGCTTGATACTGTGTACATCAAAGGAAAATTGTTAAACATGAACTTAATTTACGCGCATGGATCGACAAAAGAAAAGGACGACGTGACCAAAGACACACTCCTGACGAGACTATTACATAGAACTAGTAGTAGAGTAGTAGCACTAAATTCCTCCACTCCGATATTTATAAGACAACGAGATTGGGCTTACAGATGCGGCTTAGAAACGCCAACAATATGCGTTCCGTACATAGAAAAAACTTGACATCGGTAAGCCACGATCACGAGAGTTAGGCAAAGTTTTTGCTGCTTAACTCTTTAGTTGATTAAATAATTAACCTTCGTGTCCGGATAATGCTGGCAGGCGATGGGGACATATTCCTCACACCTTACGCATTATTCCTTAAGATGCTCTTAGTTTTTAACGTTCCAACGTAACCTGAACATGTTTACAAACTATAATCTGGCGATGACAATACCAATTTATTTTTTGGAGAAACACTTCTAGCGTCCCCAATCGAATATGATGGTATTGAAATTTCACTACCTATCTATAACGAAACGAGTGTCGGTATACATCGATTACACAACAACAAAGCAGCAGGTTCAGGTAGTGTACTTTCAGAATTGAACAAGGCTGGCGGCAATATGCTGATATGGAGAATACATCAGCTTATTTGTAGAATATGGTTGGATGCAAACATGCAAAGAGACATGTTAACTAACTGAATGGATCTTGTTGGTGCAACTTCACCAACAATATAAAGTAAATTTCTATTCCTGCAAAGTTAACACAATTCAGTAGAATAAAGTTAAGCAATACCTGTAGCCATCATGGTAATATCGAGTGTCTCCGAACTTTTTGATACTCTGCGAGGCCTTAGACATAGGGATCGCGTATTTTGTGTTGTTCTCAATTTCGTTATGAAAGTGGTCATGCGCATCACTTCCGCATTTTCAGCTCATTGCATACGCTGATGATATCGACATCATTGAGCGTAGCAAGTATAATGTTACAGCTGTCTTTGCTGCTATCGAAAAGAGCGGTAAGCGAGTGCAAATCGAAAGCTGCTGGTAGAAAAGTGTTTTCAAGGATTTCATTTACCTTGATACCGGCGTAATAAAAATCAACGGTATCAGCCTGGATATGCCACGTATCGTTTGGAGATCATGTAATGGGATTGAACATACAAGGCAAAGCGTCTGATTGTATTTAATATGGTGAATGCCAGCGCGATCCTTGCCAGTCTTTTTTCCAAGTTGACACACAGACTCCACGTGGCCCCTCTGGCTAGCTACAATCATCCTTGCGTAGTGAACTAATGTGTGCAGCAAAATCCACAAGGATATCCTCAGGGACATATGAGGTTATAAGTCGGACTTGGAACCCACCATATAAAAACAACATTCAATGCAAACGAAAAGGCAGCCTCGGATAAGGAAACGATCTACTGATGACGACAAACGCAAACGTATTAAGGAACATGATTTAAAATATGCACCTGAAATTTCCGAACTCTTTACAGAGAAGATGCATCTATACAGCTGGTTAATGTCCTCAAAAAATATAAGGCTGACATTACCGCCCTCCAGGAAATGCGATGGACGAGACAAGGATGCTCTAAACGAGAACATTGTGACATCTACTACAGCTGCCATGTAACAAAACACGAATTTAGAGTGGGATTTGCGATAAGCCGAAAGTTGAGTAATTTGGTCTCAACATATACGCCAACAAACGAAAGGCTCGCAAAAATCCGCATTAAGGTGCGCATACCCCGACGGAAGATAAAGATGACGACACCAAGGGAATTTTCTATGAACAACTTGAACAAGCATATGAACGCTGTCCTCATTATGACATCAAAATCGTTGTAGG